ATCGCAAGGCCACTCGTTGAAAATTTGCGGAATCAACTTGGAGTTTCCCTGTTTCGTGCATGGGCAATTATACGTCGCGTGTTCGCGAGTCGGAAAACCATCATATTTATATATTTACGCACTGCTAAAAAAGACATAAAATATAGTAAATGAGAAAGCTTTAAATTGATTAGGTGTATAAAGGTGTTGCATGTAATGTAAATAAAAAAATTGTACAAAATTTTGACAATACATTTCACAAATATGTATAGGTGATACAAAGTTCACCGGGTCGTCTAGTAATAAATACAAAAATAGTTAATAATAAATAAATAAGTATAAATAAATTATAGAATACCACGGCGAACATCGTCGGAAAGTTAATTTTAACAATTTATAACGAAATTGTAACCAAATTTGAGGATTAAATAATGTAGAAAGAAAGAAGAAGGATAATGAGTTTATAAAGTAACACTTTACATCAATTTGCTTCCAGCAATACCATATTTTAAATTTAGTAAATGGTTACTAAAAAGGTACCCAACTCAGAACTTCGATCTTCCTTGGGTGCCAATAAAATTATACAATGATTTCTCATGTTTACGTGAGCACCACACATTTGAAATAAATGAAAGTTCTTTTAGATAGTCTATCGAATGAAAATAAGCGATGATAATGATTTCGACACGTTTCACGACACGGTACAAACTCATACATGACACGAATAAAAAAGTTTATCTTGAAATTGATCTATTCCATTTCATCGATCACTATCAAACCTATGTCAAAGTAGACTTTTTCTATGTGTCGACAACCCGTATCGAATAAATGTTCCCTTTTCCGTCTGACAGTTTCAGATCGCGATAGTTCCTAAAATATCGTTCAAAGCTAGCGCAGATACCTGAGAAGCTTACACACAATACCTATTTGCAACTACGGCACAATATCTGATATACCTCGAAGCGAAAAGGCTCGTATTGATGTGTGGTCTGCGGCCGGCATTCGGTTTCCTAAGAAGTATTGTGTTCGAGTGAAGCAATTTTGTCCATCTGTGTAGAAACGAAATTCAGTTTTGGTCAGTTTTGAAATTATATAAACGTAATATTTTGTATTAAGTTGCTTGTACTAACCGTGTTATAGTGTACTTTGCACGTAATATACATTATTATGAATATATTGCGATATTAACGTCAATATGTTTATTTCTTTAATTTTTCTCTTCTGTACAATTAAAATTAGAAATTGCGTAAGAGAGTTCATTACCATAGCAATGCTATGGATTATCCCGTGGATGTTGTTAGAAGCGACAAAGGGAAATAAAGGAGACAGGAGACGAGCAGTAGCATCGTCCCGATAACAATTCAAAATAATTAAAGAAACTGCGGTTACCAACCCGCCCGCTAAGCGTGGCAACTATGGCAAATATCGTAGGCAATGGTTGGGGCCAAGTAACCTTTTGATAAGTGAATAAAAAAAGAATGACACTCATTCCGTAATCATAGTAGAGCCATGCTGCACCTATATTAGTGGTATAGTTGTAGCACGAATGGGTTGATTCAACCGGGGGAGGACCACGCTCTCACAGAATACCAGCGTAAAGTAGCAGCTTAACACTGCTGTGTTTCGTATGGTGAGTGTAGAGAAACGGAGACCCTTTTCACTGGAAAAGAGGCATTCCATCTTAGTCGTCACGCGTGACAACGCTTCTGCATTTTGATTCGCAAACGAGGATAGATGTAGATGTCTATGGGCCACAGCAACCACTTACCACCAGGTGAACTGTGTGCTCGTTTGTCACCTTATCCTATAAAAAAAATCATACCTTTTTTCTTTACACTTACACTTGGATTATCTCCTGTATAGTGGAGGCCGTTTACAAACATAAATTTCACAAGGACTATTATCCAGACCCGAAACAATTATTTTGTAGGCCAAACAAATACTCGCTCCGTGCGGGATTCGAACCCATGGCTCCCAAAGCTACAACAAATTGCTACACAACTGCGCCACGGAGCCGTCACAATTACTAGTACTAAATGCTTTTTAAGTGGTAGAGCCATGCTGCAGCTATATAATGATTATAGCACGAATGGGTCGGCTTGACCGAAGAATGGCCAAACTCTTACAGAATACCAGCGTTAAATATGTGTTTCATGTGGAGAGTGTAAATAACCGTTTTACTAGATTAGAGTCATTCCATCTTAGTCCTCCAAGATGAAAGAACACATCTGCATTTTGATTCCTAACCGAAGTCTTCATCCCTTTGTTGTCGATATTCCACGCATTAGAACCAAACGCTTTGCTTCGTCTTTTGTAATGCGTACAGCAAAGGAGTGAAATAATTAGCCGGCGTCTATCTTTCCGTCCGAATACAACCTGTACGTCTTCAAGGCAAGACTGAATAGGCTTTTGTTACTTAGTCCTCAGGGGTGACATCGTAGCTGCATTTTAATTTGAGGATAGATGTAGATGTCTACGGGCCACAGCATTCACTTAACGTCAGGTTTTTCATCACTTTCATTTCTTTTAATAGCTTTTCAATCGAATAAAAAGTAAAAAAGTATTTACGTCTCATTGCTGGATACAGTTCTGCTCTCATTTTTAAGAAAGTTTTAGGCAAAGGAAATGCCCAATGTTTCGAAATATTTTTTCTTATTCATGCAAGTCTCCTCAAGTATTTTCCTTCACTCATCAACATCATTACAGCCCTTCACAAGGCCACTGCTGAACATAGACCTCCCCCAAGGAATGCCACGAAATACGGTCCTGAGCCACCTGCAACCATCGACTACCTGCATGTCTTACCAGGTCGTCACATTTCACATATATGTATACAATAGAGTTCTAGCAAGAAAACAGTCGATGTTAAATTTAAATTTAGATCTCCTTTCGTGATATTTAATTTAAAAAATAAAATTTCTGATTAAACTTTAAGTAACCAAATGGAAATTCTGCCCCACTTTATCGATATGAGTCCCGAAACTAATTAAACGGGTCCCTTTGCAGTTGTAGAATTCATATAAATGTATAATGTAACAAGTCCCTGAGGTGTGAGGTTATTGTAGTCGTTGAAGTTTCTTGGAGAATATTCAATCAATGTCCTAACTCGTCTTTGAGATGCTCCATATTCATTAGCACAGCTACGAAATGTTCAATAATTTGATCAAATACGTCGTTACGTATCCGCTCGTTATGTCTAATCTACTCGAATGCTAACTATGATTAATTAAATTTTGACGGCGGCGTATTCCCTTCTTTTGCAAAATTATTTTTCATCCATTTCAAATATGGTTGCTTTTTTACATTTATTTGGCTTATTATTTTGGTGATGATGAAAACATTTCAATTGTCTTCGTTTCGTTTCAAATTTAGCCACGCTTACTTAAGCGTGGCTAATTTGAAACGTGCTATAATAAGCAATTTAAAACTTTACCTAGGAAAGTTCCTAGGTACAGTTTTAAATTGCTTATTGCTTATTGCATTTAGGCAACGAGTCTCTCATTGAACAAGATCCGGATTGAATTGCCGTGGAGCGCGCCGGTCCCTTTAATTAAATAACACCGTTTCATTGTCAGCTCACCCTCTTCGACGCTCCTTTATTGAAATTTGATCATTCAGCTTATGGCCGGAACATTTATTTTGCCTGTTTTATATTCTCGATTCGTTTTCACTTCGATTCTTCGCCTAGATTTTTGAATTCTTTACTCGATTTCGCGCTTTGTTACAGGCTGTCGTCCATTTTTTTTGAAAAGCACTTTTGTCAAAATTGTTACTAATGTCTACTTATCGAATCTTATTTGATAAACAATAGCTTTGTATGTAAAATGTAATTTAAAAAACTATATATTATGTCACATTGTTTCCCCTTATTAATGATTTTTATGAAACTGCGTACACTGTTTATGCTTAGCAGAATTTGATTTCTCAATAGCAACTAAAGGTGACAAACCCCTGTCTCTTCGATAAAATCTACACATGCTCGTCATGCTAAATGTTAAGCCTATTGGAAATCAGTAGTCTCTGTCTTTTGAGTGACAGTCGTGATAATCAATGTATTTTTATTTATAGAATAATGGTACACACAGTCTACTGATGGTAAATGGTTGCTGTGGCCCATAGATATCTATGTACATCTATCCTCGATTACGAATCAAAATGCAGATGCGTTGTCTACCCGTGAGGTCTAAGATGGAATGCCTCGTTTCCAGCAAAAAGGGTCTCAGACACTCACCATACGAAACACAGCAGTGTTAAGCTGCTATTTCACGCTGGTATTCTGTGAGAGCGTGGTCCTTCCCCGGATAATGTTATGATAAATAAACTATATACGACTACCGTAATGTAGTGTAATGAGTGGCAGCCTCGTAACGATAAGCAAAGTGTCGGGAGGCGCCCCACTAGATGGTGTGACGACCTGGTAAGACATGCAGAAAGTCAATCAATGCATGTAGCTCAGGATCGTGCTTTGTGGCATTCCTTGGGGGAAGCCTATATTCAGCAGTGGACTTGTGAAGGGCTGTAATGATAATTATGATGAAGCATATCCTATGTATCAACTATAAAATGTAGAGTTAAAAAACCATACAACAAACTTGTATCCCTCAGAAAAAATACATTCTTGCGAAACTTACTCAAATCAGCTATCTTGGACGCCGCAAAATAGCGTTTAAATTTTGAAATTTTAAAAATGTTATTTAAATATTCACTTTGCCATATTGCGGATATTGAAGTAAGTTTCAAGTTATTATATTCACTGCAACACTAAGGCTTAGCGTTCCCTCTCAACGTGAATCTCTTGAGTGCTCTTAAAGTTCTGAAGCCGATTGACTTTTCAAGAGTGTTGAATAAAATTATTTATTGCAGTTTTTTTGAAATAAATTATAACTTGTTATAAATTTTCGACAATTAGAATGCTTTATAGCAGCAGATATAGTTGACGTCTTGATGTCATAGGGCTACATTTAGCTTCTCATTATTAATTTTAGTCTGTGCTATTCAGTAAGAGCTCATTGCACCATCAAATGGGAAATTTGCTAGTCTATCACTTTCATGTAATTGAATGTTTCATAAGAATCGTATTAATTTTCAATGCCTTTGCAGTTCCACCGGAGAAGCCAGTGGTGGTTGATCGATGGGGGCGTGTCATCAATACAACGACCCTTGGTCCTCATGAGGAAGGAGACGACGTCCTTCTTACATGTCGTGTACTTGGAGGTAAGTTCCTTATAAATCATATTTTTATTGAATTTGGGGTGTTGAAGCCGAGAATATACTCGTATAAGTGGGTTAAGATACGTTGTAACAGTAGCTCAGCAACATTTTAGCAGGTTGTTACAGAATTATCTCAATCCGTACGCTTATATAAAATTGTTCTGCATAGTGTCCTCCTCCAAGGAATACCACAAAGCATGGTCCAAGTAAGCAAAAGTGCGAAGCCACCTGCATCAATTTATTTCCTGAAACTTTTACCAGGTAGTCATTCCATCAAGGAGGGAGATACCCTACACTACGCTTACCTATACTAGGTTGTCACTCGAGAAACTTTCCTCCTTATCGCTTGTCGGTTCTTTGAACCGACCAACAGCCACTACAACTAACTGAAATTAAATGATTTTTATATAATAAGTTTTTTCTGTATTTCTCTCTTATTATATTATAATTCGTAAACATAAAGGTTTGATAGTGGTAGCGCAACGCAGCAGTTTTTGCTGTCGCACGGATGGGCCGGCTCGAACAGGGGTGGCACCACGACTTCACAGAATATCAGCGTGAAGTAGAAGTTTACTTCTGCGTTTCACCTGGTGAGTGAAGGTGGCTGGAGGTCCGATCTACCCCCCTCCCGTTAACATGGTAGCAGAATTAAATATAAACACTAACCCCAGGAGGGTAGAGGGTAAGCACTCCTGGTGACGGAGAATCTCACTCTGAGAATCCACCCCCAAGCTACCCTACTTTTTCTGAGCTTTTGCTCAGGCTGCCCCGCGTATTCTGGTGGGGTGGGGGGTGGTAAAATTCCGCTCAAGACGAAACCTGCTTAAGGCAATCGGAGCAATAAGACAAAGGCAACTGCCCCTACGCTATCCGTAACTGCTAACCTCTCATTCGGACGGATATCAGGTCTCTGCCGATGCCCCCCTGGCTCTTCAGACCACTATCTCATACGGAGTACGATGCCACTCACGCTTCCATCGCAGTTGCGATCTGCAGCTTGCCGCCGTATTTGGCAACGTAGGTCGACCGATTGGAACGAGAAGCGGTCGTTTTTTTTTATCCTACCCTTGGGGGTTTGCTTCTTGCCGGATGATCCCAACATTGTTGTTGATTCTGTCGCTGATGTGGTCTTTCAGGAAATGGAATTATTTATTCCTTCATCTGTGGTGCATATCAGAGATAGAATTCAGACATGGTTTGGTCACCCCTGCATTGCATGATGCTATAAGTAGGAGTGCTACCGGGCCTGGGCTAACGAATCAACTTCTCGGGATCCAAATACCAGTGCTCTCAAAAAGAAGTACAATTCCGCTTCCAGGTCCTTCAAAAGTAGTTTACCTTTCTTCGGAAATACGTGCATTCTGGTCTCTCACCAAGGCTGTCCAAGGGTATTTCTGTCAGACATCTCTTCCATCTCTGCATAGAGTGGACCATTCATTGACCCATGCCGCAAAGGAGAAAGACATCCTGCTAGGCTCTCTCTTTGCGTTTAACTTAACTCTCGATGACGGGAGGAACACACCGCCGACTATCCCGCGTTGTGTGCTGTTTACACAGCATTTGGTGCGCAAAGCACTCCTCTTCCTTGACGTCAACAAGTCGAGTGGGCCTGATGAAGTTCCACCTATTGTACTGAAGACGTGTGCTCCAGAGTTTTCACCGGTTTTCACGCGTCTTTTTTGGTACTCCTACTCTGGAAGACAGGTTTGGTGCACCCGATCCCAAAAAAGGCGACCGCTCAGATCCGTCCAAGTACAGGCTTATCGTTATCACCTCCTTGTTCTCTAAAATATTGGAAACTGTTATTAACAACTGCCAGCTCATGCGGTACCTTGAGGATCACCAGCTGATTAGTGACCGCCAGTACGGTTTCCTTCAAGGTCGCTCGGCTGGTGATCTTCTACGTTACCTATATCATAGATGGGTGGATGCAATGGAGTCAAAGGAGGAGGCGTTGGCAGTTAGTTTGGACAGAGCGAAAGCTTTCGATCGGATTTGGCACAAAACGCTTATTTCGAAGATTCCTTTCTATGGCTTCCCGAGAAATTGCGCAATTGGATCACAAGTTTTCTTGCAGATCGGAGCATCAAGGTCCTAGTAGACGGTGCATGCTCCGATTACAAGCCTACTAACGCTGGTGTTCCACTAGACTGCGTGCTGTCACCAATACAGTTTTTTCTGCATATCAATGATATCTTGCATACTGGTAACATTAAATGCTATGCGGATGACAGTACTGGTGACGCTTTGTATACCGGTCATGCCAATGTTTCTCGGGAAAATGTCGTGGAATACCGGAAAAAAGTTATGTCTGAAGTCGAGACTTTGTTTGTCAAAGTTTCGGACTAGGGTCGACAAAATTTAGTCCAGTTCAAATATCCCGACACAAGTTTGCGCATTTACCGCTTAAAACAAGCGCTTTGTTGTGTCTCCTCAGTTTCAAGGCACTCCCCTTGTTGCCTCAGCCAGTATCGGAATCCTCGTTGTCGACGTATCGAGTGATGTGCCATTTCGTGGTCACTTAGAAGAGAAGGCCAAATTGGCCTCTTAAAAGCTTGGCGTACTCAGTAGAGCAGGATAATATTTCATGCCAGCACACAGCTTGCAACTTTACAAAGCGAAGGTTCGGCCCCACATGGGATACTTTTCCCATCTTTGGGCAGGAGCTCCCCAGTGCCAGCTCTTTCCACTTGACCGCATCCAGCGCAGAGTGGTTCGAATTGTCGACGACCGAGTTAATTTCGATCAGCTTGACTTTCTGGCATTGCGAAGAGATGTTGCGTCTCATGTTTTATCGCATATTCCACGGGGAGTACTCTGAGGAATTGTTCGGACCAATTCAAGCCGCTCAATTTCACTATCGCACATCGTGACAATAAATACCGTCCATCACATCTGGAAGTTTGGCGGTCCCTCATTTGCGATTAAAAAGAAGTTTTCTTACTCGCACAAATTTCTTGTGGAATAGATTACCACCAGGGATTTTTCCGGACCGATACGACTTAGCGACCTTTAAGAAAAGAGCCTACTCCTTTTTAAAAGGCCGACAACGCATCTGCAATTCCCCTGGTGTTGCAGTTGTTCATGGGCGGCGGTAGTCACTTACCATCAGGTGAGCCGCATGCTGGTTTGCCCCCGCTCCTATAACAAAAATAAAAATAAATGTTTGTAAACATAATAAAATGTTGAAATAGCAAATAATGTTATGATTCCTCACATCAAAATACCGTGAAACAGAATCTATTTTAATATAAATATCTAAACAAGATTAGATCGTTAGGTGGAGAAATTTACATAATCGAAGCATTGATTGAGGCGAAGGTCGTAAAAACGCCTCGGATAAAATAATTCTTGCAAAGCTGACGTGTTTTTGATGACGAAGAGTAAAGTTGAAACTTTGAATTTGCTATTACTTTTAATGAGATTTTTCTAACTTTCTTACTTTTAAGCAGTTCTGCAGAAAATCAAGTAAATAAGTATTGAGTACGAACTGATGGTAAAATTTCCGGCTCGCATGTTGAAAGCAAGTTATTATATTTTAACTACACTAAAGCGATAGTGTAAACGCGACTGCTGGTCATGTGGTCCTAACTCCAAATCCCGGGTCTAGCCAAAAATCAATTATTGGGTTTCTCTGTCAATAAATTCTCATTCACAGCACGGAGTCAGGAAACTGACGATGTTTTTAGCCCCGTGCCTCGGAAAGCACGTAAAGGTCCTAATTTGTCTGATTTGTCTCCAGTCGTGTTGGGTTACCGTCACATTAGACTATAAGAGTTGGGCACTATAATAATCATGTGCTGCGCAAATGGCTAGCCTCTGTTAAGACCGACCACCATTGTACACGCACCTAGTTGCCCAGACTAAGGTCTACCATACAGGGGCCCATACAGCTGTTAGGTTTAACAGACAACTAAGTGTGGGGCTCAAATGCCTATGGATATTTAATACATATGGACTAGGTACTTAATGCGACTTACCTGATTCTGAGGGAAAGATTGTCCCAAAGCTCGTTCAGGCGTTAATTGTCGTGAATGTAAGTAGTGTGTGAGAAGTGTATGTATGTGTAACTTGAATTAGCCCTTTTTAATCAGCAGCGACCCTGACTACAGCACCGCCACCTTATGTGGTATCACTCCAACGGCGTCATTCGGTGTCACTCAAAGTCTAGCGTTCATTAGCACAAATCTATAATCTAATACGAACGCTTCTCGCGGGTCACAGAATTTAGCGTTTTTAACCGACACAGGAAAATATCTCCGAGTTAAATCAAACGGCACAAAGCAACTCGTTGACGCGAATTATTATTGTCAAGCACTTCAACCGGCAATCACTATGCAATTACGTAAATTACTTGCCAACGAATATAGGTTAATCAATCAAATCATTACTGTTTCGTCGTCGCGTGAACACACTAGGATAACCAAACGGCGTCTATTTTTCTAGACTCAACAAAAAACCTCGTCGTTGCATAAATCTGCCAACAAACCGACACTAAAAAGGGAGGTAATACCGGACGACCACGTCGTGGTAGACCGCACTGCTTTTTTTGACTTCCGCCGCGCCACGCCGTTCAACGGAGATTTTAGACTGACCCGAGGCGCGAGACGTCTCGGCTCACCGTCCCGTTAATCAAAACATCAGGTGACCGGGAAACGCGCGCGGGGAGGAGAGGCCTGACAGCAATCCCTGTTGCCATCGGACGTTAGCGCTCGTAATGCAGTTTTAAACAATAAGCATTTGGCGCAAAGAAACCCTCGTCCTGGACATAAGGACTTATGTCCGCGAGCAAACCAGCAAGCGGGACAGGGTCGCGACGGCACGTTGCAAGACTAAATCTACAACTGAAACTAGGTCATCTTAGGTACCTCATCAGATCTTGCAACCTTAACCACCGCCTCAAAAATACCGCCCCATTGTGGGCATGCCAGAGGGTCGAACCTCCTGGACATCGCAGCACCTAAATAAGTCCTGTTACTAGACAGAAGTCCAACGACCTCTTTCAAACACCTATCTGTGCCCCTAGGATTAGTTCCGCAATCCGACCGTTTTAGGTCTGCAAACAGCAACGCGATACGAAGCGGCCCAGCGTGGCCACCTAAGCTTCAGTGCAGAGGGCACTTACAAGTTCCACATGATCGGCGTCTGTGGAGAGGCAAACGAAACGCACAGATAGTCCTTAGTATGATTTTTCAAGCAAGTAGGCATAACCAAGCCATCTACCATATAATCATTTACTCAATTGTGTGGCAGCTGATTTCAATCTGATAATCTCCCAACTAGCTAGCCCTTTTAGACATGTAGTCCTATGCTCATATTTCAACTAAGTTTCAGAAGCATCAATGTTCAACTTAATTCAAACAAATTAATTACCGATGCGCATAGATCAAATAGACAAATTAAACAAAACGATAAACGTAAGAGACAGCCCTATTTCTCTTTCCAAATAAATATCTTCGATAGTGCCAACAAAAATGTGAAAACAAAGAGAGGAATGACTCTTATTCCCATTGGCACAAATAGGGTTATTCAATTTCAATTTTTTACTAACAACCGCTACAACTATGAAACAATTCGCGGAAAACCCAAAGCATTTTTATTTTTAATTTAAAGCATCATTAATTAAGTGCTCGACCAAACCAAATCTAATAGTCCTTGACAGCGTAATTCAACGCTCCCGAGGAGCCCTAATCTTCCCAACAACCAAGTGGAGGCCACACAGCATTGTGAACCCGAATCCAATAGAGCGTGAGCGGCTAACAGTCGCCACTCGGGTTATACGCCTTCACTGAGGCCGTCGGCAACAGAACAGTTTGACAAGTGGACTGTTGACGGCTCAAAGGCTCAGTGGAGGTGGTCGTGGTGGGAGCTAGGACGACAGCTAGCTAGGGCTGCCTCCATTAAAGGGAGGACGGCGGTACCCCAGCTGCGGCCACTCAGCTGACGAGGGTGAGAAGGGTCTAGCTGACTGCTGGGTGGCCGTGAAGTTCCACTCCACACGCTGAGGGGGGGCGACGACACCCCCGCCCCTGGGGGAACAACCCCCCGACTGGTTCGGGGAGGGACCCCTTTCAAACCCAGGGGCACTGTGGCCGGCAGGCGAGCTCCAAGTGTCGCCCGACAGGGGGCGCGGCTGAGCGCCCCCGCCCTTGGGAGTCGAGGGCGCGGCAGAGCCCGGAGAGGAAGCGCCGTTCGCACCCAGGCACAAAACGGCATGGTGCTTGCCCTGGCAATGCAGACAGGGCCGCCGATGCAAACAGTCTCGCTGGAGGTGCCCTCCCAAACATGAGCAGCACCAGTGGCGCTCCTTGGCGATAGTTCGCCTCGCCGAAACCGGCTTACCTAATAATTCGGGCACGACGTTACCCGGTGATCGGAGGCTCGGCAATACGAACAGGGGGGCGCCTCCCTAGCCAATAGGCCACTGTGAGGTGGTAGAGAGCGGCGCCCTCCCACGGAAGCTCCGATCAGCTTTAGGGGGGTTGACGACGACTTGCCCGGCGGATCCCGCCTCTCACTGGGCACGGCTTGTGAGTCGTCAACGGTGCCAGCCGCGTTCTCAATATAGGAGGCGCCATCCCCGCCATACCTCTCCTCAAAATGTATCCTAAGGTCGAGAGGTAGGCGGGACAGCACGATGTGGAGCAACAAGAAGGACCATTCATCCACCGGCAAATCCAGCCGCCTCAACGCATTACAGGCCACCAAGATTGGATTCAAGAGGTTCGGACGTAGCCTGGCCCTGTCCCTAAGCAGTGGGAGGCTTAGAAGCTGCCCGACGTATTCGTCCGCAATTCGCCGGACGTTGGCGTATCTTCCGGCGAGGAAGTCCCGAGCAGTCTGGCAGGCGTCGTTCGACAATCTCAAATGGCCAACGACGCCCAGGGCCTCCCCCTCCAGTGAGGCTAAGAGGTACGCCATCTTCCGGCTTGGTGTCAAATCCCTCCGGGCATCCACTGGGCTATCAAAAAACCCTACAAAGGTCAGCCATTCGGAAAGGACCCCGGATAACCTTGGCAGGTCCAGTTTTGGGAGTCGTCCCACCAGCTCCGGCTGAGTAGGCTGCTTCCGAGGGGACTCGGGCAGGCCACTCATCCGAGCTTCACGCGCCTTCTCAACATAGCTGGCCCCAGCCTCGATCAACTCGTCCGTGAGCGAAAAGAGCTGCTCGTAGTCTGCTAGGCAGGAGCCCAGGACCCCCTTTTCCACATCCGAATCCTCGAGCTCAGAGTAAGCCTCCTCCACTGCGGCCCTTCGAGCATCGACCTGCTCGAGCCGCTTCCTCAAGTTATAGACCCTATCCGGTTGACCTATCAAAGCATGGGCGCTAGCGGCCCAGCGCAGCTCCGCTTCAGGCAACGAAGTTTTAAACATTTAGCATTTGGCGCAAACAACCATGACTGACTGGAGAACATTACATACAAATATATCTAGCCTGTGGTGCAGGCTTAAGATAATCTCCTCAGCGTTGCAAACAGCAACTATGGAAAAAAAAGGTCAGAAAACTTGTATAGATGGATTTTATGCCACCCCATAAATGCTAGATGTAAAAAATCCAGATCATCGACTAAAATCAGCGCGTTTTCTGGTATTTACAATGATAGTATCTGGTACAATGGAACAGTAAAAGAGGCCCAAGTTCATCAACCATAGAGAAGAGGAAAGAAGACTTTATATTTATATTTATATATATATATATATATATATATATATATATATATATATATATATATATATATATATATATATATATATATCGACACTTGAAAGGCAATAATTAACGAGACACTTATTGAGCGATATTGAGTTATATACATAATTGAAGTCAGCAAATAATTCTGTGTCGATATGTCATACTCGACGAAGAATCGTTTTTGCAGAAATCGCAGGAAGAGTTTTGTTGTCGCTTGATAACTTAAATGAAATCACATTTTCACAGTTTTCGGCGACCGAGAGACTTAAATTTTTCCCATTTATGAATAATTTTCAATTTGTATTCGATTTTAACTTAATAAATTTAGTAATTTTTGCCTTGAATCAAATTAATGCGGTTAAAATAAAAGTAACTTTTCTCTTACGGTATCTAGGATATAAGCGTTACTTAAGAAATTTTACCAAATTATTTTTTCGCGTCACGTAAAATTTTTAACAGATCTTAATTATGTATTCATTTTCCATTTGTATTTTTTTCCTTAATGATATGGACTTAAATAAGTAATTAAGTAGTACTTTTTCTGCCTAAAAAGGATTTATTTTGTCGTTTGGTAATATTTTACCTGCCGATTTCCTTTTACTGATTTTGTTACTTATATAACTATATCTGATATGAAATTTGTATAAAAATGAGCTTATCCCTTTTGTATGTATTTGGTTTTGTCGCTTACACACACCACTGTAAAGCAGATTTTGAGTGGCTATTGGTAACATAATATCAATTAGTCTTCACCGAACTGTGGCATTTGCAACGTTGTATGCCAAATATACCTATTAAGTAGTAACTAAAGCTCTAAATTGTTTAGACTTGATCTTATTTGTGTTGTTTAATTGACAGTTTACTAAAATATTTTCACTCATGTTGTTTTGATTGTAAAATTATTTTGTAATTTTAGAATATAGTACATGAAGGTACTATTTTCACGTACATAAAAGTTTATGTTTTTGGTGATAATTTGGGACAATTGACCGGGTGTTAACAACAGTCTCTTTCTACTAGCACAATTTTTAGAGTTGGAATTCCCAGTCAATAAAGATTATACTGATATAATACATAAGCTTAATCCATACGGATCCGTATTGATTATGATTATGTAGTAAGCTAATGTGGCGACGGGTCGGCCAGATAGCTCAAAAAACCGACAACCGCAGGGAAAGAAAGTTTCTCGAGTGGCAGCCTCGTGTCGATAGGCGAAGTGTAGGGCGACTCCACACTAGACAGAATGACGACCTAGTGAGACGTGCAGGAAGTTGATAGATTCAGGTGACTCAGGACTATGCTATGTGGCATTCCTTGGGGGAGGTCAGCAGTGGACTTGTGAAGGGCTGTACGATGATGAATGATCATAATACAAATAGTGACTAGGAATCACCCATATTACCATGTTCAGATTTTATTTTAATTTTTATAAGTTCATAGCAGAGATAAAACAATTCCAATTTAATATAAGCCATTCTAAACAGTAGATACGAACTCGCGTCCTTTAAGTTCGCAGTCCGTTGGCTACCATAAAGCTACTATCACTTAAGACAAACTACATTATTTTTTAATTAAGATCAGAAAAAAAAACTATCAGTATCATGACTTTGTTCATTTACTCAGGTCGTCCAGAGCCATCGGTGCGATGGTTAGTCAATGGTGTCCTTGTAGATGAGGAGTATGAACACAACACTGGCGACGTAATAGAGAACCGGCTGCTATGGCCGGCTATTAGACGCGCCGACTACGCAGCCGTGTTCACGTGTCAAGCTGCCAACTCACATTTGGTGCCCCCGAAAGAGCTTTCATTAGTACTCGATATGTTCTGTAAGTATTAATGTATTAATATCTGTCACTATACATTATGTTTCATTTAATTAGGTTAGTATGGTAAATCTGAAACCGTTATTGAGTGTTACTACCTTACGTAGGTTTTTATGAAAATAATATTTACTTTATGAAATCAGTGGTGTGATGTTAATAATATATTTTTCTCTGAAATTTATTTTATTATAAAGTAAAAAAGATTTGCAGCAGAAGTTGGAAAAAAATATTTTTTTATAGGAGAAGGGGCAGACGGGCATGCGGCACATCTGATGGTAAGTGACTACCACCGCCCTTTTAAAAAGAGTAGGCTCTTTTATTGAAGGTCCCTAAGTCGTACCGGTTCAGAAAAATCTCTACCAGTTAACTACAAGCTAAACAGAGAAACATAAGTATAATATATATATAACTACAGATAACCTTAATAATATACTCTATACCTGATACATAAACATATATATTTTTTAAATAATACATAATACATACATTTTAAGCATACTTACATACAAACATACTATACAAAAACAATTTAAGTAATTTATACACTTATGCAGAAACATTTAAATAAGAAGGTCAGTTGCTGAAAGAAGAAAGGTAATGATAAGTCACCATTCTTTTAAAGGCTGCAACAGAAGTCGTTCTCCTAATGTGAGGAAGTAATTTATTGCAAGGCCTTATGGCCTCAGCGGCGAAAGACTGAGACATAAATTTGGTGCGATGAGAAAAAATACATAAATTCGTTCCCTCGGATGATCTCAGGTAACGATCGTGGGAGAAACCCAAACACTGAAACTTGAATTTCAGGTTTTGGGGAGTGCATGCAAAGAATTCTGATACATTTACACTGATGGATAGGGAGCCATTTAAGCTTAGAACGATATAAGGAGACATGATCGTATTTACGAAGGCCAAAAATAAAACGGATGCAATTATTTAACAAACGATCCAATTTGCACAGAAGTACTTGACTCATATCAGGGTAACACACATTAGCATAATAAATAACCGGTAAAACAAGTGTTTTCACCAACAACGCCTTAGTCTCGGTTGAAAGAAAATTTATGAAACGATAAAGGCCACGCAGGGTGATAGTCACTCTCCAGCTTATATCAGCTACCTGAGATTGCCAACTTAAATTAGCATCAATCATTAACCCAAGGTCTTTAACTACATATATAAGAGGAATATTTGTGCTGTTATAAACAATAGGCTCCAGTGGATTGAAATCTAAATTAGCTAGACGACGAGGGCTACCGAGAATTATGGCTTGACATTTAACAGGATTGACAGCAATTCCATAAATTGTGCACCAGTCACAGATGGCCTGAAGATCTAGATTTAAAATTTCGATCGCAGAGTTAACCTCTGCTGAATTAATCCGAGCGTACAGCTGTAAATCGTCAGCATACCGATGGTAGGATCATATGAAATTTACAGTTATCAGATTTATAAAAACAGAAACTAATAAAGGAGAAAGAATTCCGCCTTGTGGCACGCCAGTTGCAAGATCAGACCAATCAGAGGAAGACTGTTGATTGACCTTAACTCTACGCTGCGACCACGAAGATAAGTTGATAACCAATCCAAAACTGACGTGGAGAAACCCATGACAGAAAGCAAGAAAAATGTCATGATCGACTGTACAGAAAGCATTATAGAAGTCAATTAATATGAGAACTGCCAATTTTGACTCCTCCATACACTCTCGTACATCCTCGAGAACTTTAAGAACAGCTAAAATTGTATTATGTCCAGGACGAAAACCAGATTGTAAGGGACTAAGAAGTTTATTTTTATATATGTAGCTGGATAGCTGTTTGTGTGCAGCTGATTGTAAAATCTTTGAAAGAAGGGAAGTATAGAAATATGTCGAAAATGGTTAATTCTGTTAATCTATCTGGTATTATCTAACTTGGGAAGAGGAAGTACAAACGCTTTATGCCAAAAAAATGAAAAAACCCCAGTAGAAAAAGAATAATTGATGATGTGGGTGATGATTGGGGGAACGTTATCAATATACATTCTGACTTTCCACAATAGAGTGTAGAGCCCCATTTACTCTATTTCCTGCGTTCACTCGTCGTTCTATATCCTTATCATATCTGCCATCCCTACTAAATACAAATCCAAAATACACAAACTTATACACTTGCTCCATCAACTTCCCTTCTATTCTTATTTCAATTATCGTTTTACTTTTTTCTGTTTCAAAAACTATTAATTTCGTCTACATTTTTCGTATACAAGTATTTGCATGGCCTACAACTAATTGTTCCGGGTCTAGATGTTTGTCTTTGTGAAATTTATGTATGTAAACTGTCCCCGTAACGGGGAACAGCGGAGCCGCCGGGGCAGGGCACTTTATTCATAGGGAGAATATTTCCATAGTTGCCACGCTTGGCGAGCCGGTTTTTAAACGCACTTATATTTATTGTTGTTTTGCTGAAATCAGAAAGATGCTGCTCAGAAAGATGCTGACGACTATGGTAACGGTGGGGCATAGGGTGCTAAAAATCTCCGTTGGAGGTTTGGTTGCCACCCAAGATGACTCGACCTGGCAACATGTAACGCATGCATCCTGGGGACTGACGAGAAGATCCAGGAGCTGGAAGAAAAGATAGAAAAGTTGCGCTAGAATATTATATGATTATCCGAGGTCCAAAAATAGGGAGAGGACACGGTAATCATCAAATGCGGCAACTTGTTCTATCACCGGGAGGGCGACCATCTGTCCCAAGAGGTTGTCGGATTTATCTTCCACAAGTTTCTCGTTAACAACGTTCGCGGCCCCACAGGAAGTAGACCTGGTCAAGCCCCGACGATTCGACAAACAATAAGATTGACTTCGCTATTATAGCTAGACGTCAACTGTTCAGTGATGTCTCAGTGATCGCGAGGGTGAAAACCGAGAGCGAGCACTGAATGGTGAGAGGCACACTGGATCTAAGCGTTAAGATAGAAAGGTCACGTCTAATTAAGTCAACCTTACATCCCCCTCGTGCTCTAAAGTGTCCATGCGGTCGGAGCTAAGTTCTGCAAGACCCGCCGAAGAAAAACACAAAAATTCTCCGATCGCAATCTTAATCTTATGGTTGTTAGGTAATGAAGTTTCAGTTCTTAGCAGATTTGACAGCATACAGGCAATTGAACAGACTGATCTCGGCGGAACTTAATCACCTTGAATACAACTCGTATTGAAGAAGTTGATGAGCGGAACCAGGGCTCCAAAGTCTTTGCCAGAGATCAGTCTGCTATAAAGAGCCAACTGTCGAAGCTGAAGACCGAGTGTGGCAGCATCGTTTCCGAGACATCTGAGCTACTTAGCCATAAGCTCCTTACTTTTGTTTTCCATGGTGGCACTACACTGAAGGCGTGGAGCAGAAGAGCGGTGGTCTTGTTCTTCGAGAAAGACAATAAAGCTCTCTTGAAGAACTACAGACCGATTTCTCTTCTGAGCCGCGTCTACGTGCTGTTTTCGAGAGTCAATACTCGCACGCAAACTCGACGACTTTCAACCTCCCGAACAAGTTACTTTGAACAAGTTACGTTAAACTTCCAGTTTCTGAAAAACCTTTAGCACTATAGATAACATAAACACCTTTCGGAAAATTGTTCAGAAGACTGAAATGTACAATTTGCCACTTTGTCTTGCGTATCTGGACTATGAGAAATCCTTTGATTCCGTCTAAATGTGGGCGGTGCTGCAGTCCTTTCAGCGGTGAGAGTACGAAACATATAGAATTGCAGAGAGGTGTAAGGCAGGTTGACGTTATATCCCCGAATCTCTTCACCGCTGTATTGGAAGACGTTTTTAAGCTACTGGTCTGGAAAGGATACGATGTTAACATCAATGACGAGGACATAAGTCACCTTCGATTTGCCGATGATATATTCCTCATGGAAGAATGGAGGACCTAAGCACAATGTTCAATGACCTCAATAGTGCCTCCCAACGGATAGATCTTAAAATGAATATGGACGAAACAAAGATCATGCTAAACGTCTAAGTCACACCTAAGCCGGTGTTTTTGGGAGCACCAAGCTCGAACTTGTTGACGAGTATATTTACCTGGGACAAATAGTCCGACGAGGTAAGTGCAACTTCGACCGAGAGGTCAATCGACGGATTCAACTCGGCTGGGCAGCGTTCGGGAAGCTACGACACATCTTCTCGTCAGACATACCTTATATCTTGAAAATTAGATTGTAAAACCAGTGTGCGTTGCCAGTAAGGACTTATAGATCTGAGACGTGGTACTTCACTGCTGGCCGTATGAGAAAGCTCAAAGTCGCTCAGCGAGCTATGGAGAGGGCTGTGCTCGGGCTTTCTCTGCATGATAAACTTAGAAAGGAGGATATCCGCAGTAGAACCTAAGTGACCGACATAGCCCAACATAAGTAAGCTGAAGTGGCAATGGGATGGCCATGTAGCTCGAAGAACCGACAACCGATGAGAAAAAAGTTTGTCAAGTGGCGGCCTTGTACCGGTGGACGAAATTTAGGGTGGCCCCCACTAGATGGAATGGAGTGAAGACCTGGTAAAACATGGAGGAAGTCGATGGATGCAGGTGGCTCAGGACCATTCTTTGTGGCATTCGTGTGGGGAGGCCTATGTTCAGCAGTGGACTTGTTGTGGCTGTAATGATGAAGTGATGATGATGAAACTGCCCACACGATACAGTAGAAAATCCTAGTGTGGAAGTAACATTTTCTTTCAAAGAAGGAAAAACTGTAATACACACGAAACTTTGGTCGTTCACTGTCCTACTTACTTTATCTGGCGAAAGATCTTCTATTTTTTTTTCGTCGGCTAAAGGCACATATTATGACCTCAGAAAATTATAGCCAAGTTGACTTTATGTTACAAAATTATAAAATTTCTGATAGAGAGTTCTGCCCTATAAGTAAGTTTATTTATACGTGGTATAGCCATGCTCTAACTATATAGTTGTAGCATGAATGGGTCTGTTAAACCACGGAAGGACTAAGTTCTTATAGAATAAAAGCGTAAAATAGCAGCTTAACACATCTATGTAGAGAACTGGAGAACTTTTTTACTGGAAAGGAGGCATTCCAGTCTACTCTAGAATTTCGATTATTACTAAATGATGGGTGAAGTCTATGATTTAGTCTTTAAACCATATCATCCACTTACCATCTAGTGGACTTTGTGCGGATTTATCACCCTTGTTCTATAAAGAAAAAATCCGGAATGGCACAAAACGTAAAGATGCCATTTTTCACCATGTTGTAAATAGTGTTAGTCCTATAAATTTATCAATAGCTACAAGATGTGCTTTAAAATTTTCCGTACCTGTATCAACGAGTATAAAACATAGTAGATATCATAGTGAATACTTATTGTGAAAGTCGTTTTATTTGTTGTCCTAATTTGAACGTGCTCGTGCGATTGCTACAAATTGTATGAAAAAGTTTTTATTAAATTTGACAAACTTCTACTACATGTTTGATTTGAATTATATAAATGTAATTTTTAAACTTTTACTAAAATCTAACACAGTTAAAGAAACATACTGTATATACGTGTCATTTGCAGTAACTAAGTTGTATATACAATAGATGAGTTTGAATAAAGAAACAGAATGAACCGTTATTGTTTATGGCGTGAACACCTCAACAGTATAATTGTATGGATAGACTTTTGTACGTGCTAGAGCCATGCTGTAGCTATATTATGGTTACGTGACGTATAGGATGGCTCGACCGCGGAAAGACCATGCTCTCACAGAATACAAGCTTGAAATGTTCCTGTGTTTCGCTTGGTATGTGTGGAGAACCAGAGAACCTTTTTTCTGATATCGGGTCATTCTATCTTAGTCCTCAAGAACAATAAGTATATTTTCATCCTCAATAGAGGATAGATGTTAGTGTAGGTAAGTACAACAGCATCCACTTAACATCAGGTGGAATTTGTGCTCGTTTGTCACTGTTCTTCTTTACAGAATCCTATAATTTTTGAAGTCCGCAATATTGAAAACTTTCTGCTTATATCTGTCAACAAAGTAAAAATCTAAAAAAAAAAACATTATAATAAAGTTCAACAATTTTTTACAATTAAATAGAACTTTCAAAACAGCAGTATTGCTTAAAGTGAAAGCCACGAGTGTCGACTTGAAACCTCAAGTATTTAATTTTTTTTACGAACAGATTTAATGAGACAGCTTGTTTACAGTGAGGCCTCTCACCGTGGAAATCAAAAAGCCATCGGAAATTGGTGAAGGGGGCGTTTTGACTGCCGAGCGAAGATACGAGGTTGCATGTGAATCAGCTGGTAGTCGACCGCCTGCACTCGTCACTTGGCATAAGGGAAAGAGGCAGCTGAAAAGGATAACTGTAAGTAAAAACTTAGAATGAAAATTTTAAATACCCCAGAAAAGAACCCTACCGCAGTTAACAAAACAGCTGATGACCATGAAACGGGTGAACAGATTTTGATAAAAAATGTCTAAAAGACAACCACTAAAAACCTGCTTTTAAATTAAAAAAAACCCGTTTAAGAGCTACGGTGCCGCAGACAGACACGCACAGACAAACAGACAGGTACACATAGCGCTCAAACTTATAACACCCCTCTCTTTTGCGTTGGGGTTAAATATACCTCTAATGTAACTATTATTGGTAAAAAGCCCATACATATATTTTACGTGGTAGAGCCATGCTACAGCTATATTAGTAGTATAGTTGTAGCACGAATGGGTCGGCTCGACCGGGGAACTGTACTTACACCCTTTTAAATATAAGTAATGGCCGTTTGTCGGCTCTTAGCAGGGGGACATAATATGTAGGCATTCATGCGTTCATTTTTCGTTCATCATCTTTACGGATCATTATGTTCTTAGATAATACGCACTTCATTTGGATTATCCATGATCACACTCTACGATTGTTAACGCTATAGAGAACTTTAAAAATATATGGGAATAATACATCTGAAGGCTGTTGCACCCTCTTCAATAAAAAAGGTCACTTACCGTTAATTTCATTAATTTTAACACGCTTTAATTAGCTTTGTGTGTATTTATCTATCTAACGGAATCTTTTCTGCCAACTTCCGAAAAGGAGACGGTACTCAATTCGACTGTATATTTTTTTATGTGTGTTACCTCATAACTTTTTACTGGGTGAACCTATTTCGATGACTCTTTTTTTATTTTAAAGCTGTACCAGCTTTTCTTTCTCGTGAGGTCAAATATGAATTTGATCAAGGTCAGACTAATAGTTTTTGAGTTATTTTTAACAACGTATACTGAAATCGGCTGTACAAAATTTTTAATTGTAAATTATAATATAATTTAGCGAAAATACGAATTGACTTGATTTGCACTCGTATCAAGGAAAATCAAATCATTGCGTGTTCTTTAAACTTTTTAAACTATTATATTATTATAGTTTTATAGATGCTACATAATAAAAAAAATATTATTTTTTATCGAGATTCATAATATGAAGCCCGACACTGTGGTACATGTATATAGAACTTACGTAACATTCTGTATGTATCCGATACTTAGCTGTAATTACAGAGGTGATGGACGCCGCGGTCGACTGGCGGCACACCAATATCATGATCGATTCGGAGTCGGAAGCGGTGTAGGGATGAAAACGGGGCAATTTCTTATCGACGCTATTAACTCTTAACTTGAATCTGGAAACAGGCGTATCATTTTCTATAATGTTACCCATAAAATTTCTTAGATTGTCCTATTTAATTTGCTGGACAGATTTTTGGAAAAGACGGTTCTTATTTAACTGATTTTTATAACTAGATACGGACAGTGTTTCAGCCAAGTTCAAAAATGAAAAAGCAATGCACCAACACAATAGTGTGTATATTTATTTATTTCTTTTATTTTATTTTATTCGTATGGTTTACTAACAGTCATACTTACACAATACAATCTTAAATAACAGAAAAGTTTGTTAAGTTAAGTGTAGTGACTACTTACTAGTAAATACAGCATGCAATATAACAATAACTTAAGTGGGTTTTGATTTTACTAAATAAAGTAAACACTTTTAAAAGGAAAAAAAATATTGTTTATCCGTACGGTAAAAGAGAACACAAGCTGGATGCACGAAATTAAGTACTAGTCATACTGACGACTATCTTTTTACGGAAACTGTAAGCGGACTCAAAGTTTACGTCAACTCTGTGTTTGTAGCTATTTAACAGGTTACACAGTCTAGGTAATGGAGAGTTGGAGCCAAGAATGGTTCTGCGGGTTGGTAGTCTCAGTGGTGCTATCGGATGACGCGGATATCTTGAAGACGCGGTAAAATCAAATGAGTTCAGTAACTGAAGACAACAAATTCTATTGTTCAGAATTTTAAACAAAAATAACAAGTCTGTTAGCTCCCTACGCTTATCTAAGGATAACTAATAGATATATTCACACGGGCCTTTGCGTGCTATTGAATAAAACTAATATTACGGATTTTTAAATAACGTTAATTAAAATTCCTCATGAATTAAGCATAAGTGATATAAGTTAAATTAAACGCAAATTCGTAAAATTAGTTTAAATCAATCTCAAATATAGTATATATTTTAAATGATTACAATTCGAGCTACTTTCGAAACAAACATAACTAAAAAACTATAAGGCCCTGTCCGCACTGCGATATTTCACTGCGCGATTTTTGTCGAAACGAAACCTACGTTAATAGATGCCATACCTCCAATAAGTGTTGGCAATCTGAATCTGAGCCCCGAATTTATGCTGATATTGGCAAAGCGCGTTGTTTAGAGATTGTTCATGGTGGTTGCCGAGACGGATTAGTTAACGGTGTCTTAACAATTTTAAAATCAGATTCGAAATGCGAGGTTACCGTGGCGATATGAATACCACAAATTTTCATAACTGGGTTAGTCATAAATTGAAAAATAAACTAGCTCTTAATTCAGTGGTCGTAATGTACAATGCTTACTACCTGTTTATGCCCAAATTTGGTTATGGTAGGACGTTACCCAATCACGTTCGACTTTGCCAATCGCCCGATCGTACCAGGTGTCACGCGTGTGTCGGAGAGGGGGCAGCGGAAGGGAGCTTCCCAGCGTCTTGGCGGTCGGGCGAGACAGTAGGTGACAGTAGTAGCTTGGGAGTAGTGACACGGTTAGGCCGAGTGTTTCGGCTACCGCTGCGGAAGTTTGTGCGAGACCGGTTTCGAGTGATTTGGGTTTGGACGCGGCTTCGCTACGTAATTGGGTTTCGTGAAATCCGCCTCGGAATTGGTGGTCTAGGATTTAGGTTCCCGTACCAAAGGCCTTTATGGGGTTTTACGGTTTAAGTAAATTCTTTGAAAGTAATTGTGCATCTTAGTTAGATTAATTTGCGTGTCAACGAGGCGTATTTTGACTCTGGCGCGACGTGTTATTCTGGTGCCGAATTTATAATTTATGATAAGTGAATCATAGACATTCAATGTCGCATTTTGTGCTAATGTCTTTGCCGTGTCGGATATCACGTGTTCGATTCTACGATGAATGTGGAATTAGGCCAATTTAAGCTAGTTAAATGTACAATGAAACTAAGAGACTGTATTGGTGACAATGAAGAAAGAAATGGTCCAGCGATCGAGCCTGCGGAAGCGATGCAGCATTTTGGGGCAGCCTGGAACTCGGCCGCTGCTGGTCGCCTAAGCTTGCTCAGGTCGCAGACATTTACAGCTCACTGTACACCACTCGCCATCCACTATAACACACACTCACGACCTGCCCAAGCCTTGGTGCGAAGTTGGCTTCGGATAATGGTAAATGCTATGTGTTTCTAGCTTTCTCCCATATAGTTTATTGTGATAGAACATATTCCACGTGCCCATATTGAGGCCCGACCTACGTCTGCCCGTCGAAGAAGAGCTGCTATGGGCCCCAGCCAGGATTTGACCTTTGTAGGAGCAGCCGTAGGCCGTAACAAAGTGGTAGCAGAGCGTGGTTCCGGGTTCGATTCCCGGTCGAGCCCGACCGTAGTACTTGATCAAAATTAAACAATTTTGGTTGCAGGGAGCGTTTGCTTGATTGCTTTAATTTGTGTCTACAATCACGCCCGGTCGTAATACGAAAAATTAAAATTCTTTTCTTTTGTTGCTTTGTTGCTTGCCTTTTTGTTGTTAGTGGGTAGTTGCGAATGCCACGCCCTAAGGTTGCGCAAGCGAGAGTTTGCTAGAGAGATGCGTTGGGTAGGTAGATGGATATTATCACGTAATCGGATAATTATCGTTGTCGTATAATTATGGTTGATTACTTATCGAAGGGTCGGTTGTCTGAGCGAGGCATTTTTTGTAGATCGAACGGGATGTGTATCTTTGTTGTATTATGGTTCGTATTTAATCTAATAAATGGGAATAATATAAATCTAATAAATGGTAATTTGTGTTTGTGTAATTGTATTTAACTTGATTTTATAGGAACGGTATTTTGTTACTCGTTGATTCTTTTTGTATTTGTTATTTGTTAATTTGTAATTTGAATTTGAGCCGCGTAGTAATTTGTATTTATTAATATTGGCGTTTCCTCTCAGGGCTCTACGGGCCCTCGACTTCCATGGGCGGGGGCGATCGGCCGCGCCCCCTGTCGGGGGGTTGTTCTCCCAGGGGCGCGGGGTCGTCAGCCCCCTCCCTCATTATTTTGATAGGGACTTAACTGCCACTCAGCGGTCAGCTAGACCCTTCTCACCCTCGTCAGCTGAGTGGCCGCGGCTCGAGGTACTACCGTTCCCCCTTTGATGTAGGCAGCCCAGCTAGGTAGCTGCCGCCCTAGCTCCCACGACGGCCGTCTCCACTAATTCCGTGAGCCGTCAACAGCTCACATGTCAATCTGTTCTCTTGTCGACGGTCTCAGTGAGGGCGTACCGCCCGAGCGTCGAGTGTTGACGGTACGCGCTTTATTTGTTCCGGGTTCACACCCGGGTTAGGCTCTGCTTAATTGTTGGGAAGACTTGGGCTCCATGGGAGCGTTGAATTGCGCTATTAGGATTGTTAGATTTGGTTTTGGTCGAGTACTTAATTAAAGATGCTTTGAATTAAAATTAAAACTGTTTTTTTTTTATAGGAGAGGGGGCAAACGAGCATGCGGCTCACCTGATGGTAAGTGACTACCGCCGCCCATGAACAACTGCAACACCAGGGGAATCGCAGATGCGTTGCCGGCCTTTTAAAAAGGAGTACGCTCTTTTCTTGAAGGTCCCTAAGTCGTATCGGTCCGGAAATATCGCTGATGGTAATCGATTCCACAAGGAGGTCGTGCAAGGAAGAAAACATCTTCTAAATCGCACAGTGGTGGACCGCCAATCATCCAGATGGTGTGGATGGTATCGGGAGTTCTGCCGCGATGTGCGTTCGTGAAATCTGGCGGCTGG